CTAAGAGATCTCGTAGAATATGGTGGGAAATGGTGACTTACTCTCTGCAGCCTGCTGGGAAGGTAAGTGAAACAGAAAGGGAGATGTTGAGAGAGAGAAGCTAGGGCATAAGTATGTTACACCCAGCAGAAAAAAAAGTGCATCACGGATGGATTTCTCGGAATGCACTGGTGAATTTGCATTAGATTTCCAAGTGGCATTTAGGAATGGAAAGATGCCTTTGAACAGTATGGAACAGTTTACTGCCTACAATTCTGCTGTGAAGAAAACTGTTCTTTACAAAGTGGTCATGTCCTACGTGGATTTAATACGTGACTTAATAGCCTGAAACACAAAGAATCATGATGACAATAACTATGGTTAATAAAGGCAATTTCAGAGAATTAAGGTAACAGAAGCATTAATGTGTTCAAAGTTTTCCTTCTAAAAACTAATTTTGATGTTTGCTTGGACACTGAATTTTTCATTACATTTACAGTGGAGAGAGTAGGAGGTTATCCCAGAAAGACTGGAAAAACTTGGTGTCTTACTGGCAGGCTGAGTATTCAACGTTACGCTAAGCTATTAATTATGAGTAGCAGCAGTTCTTGGAGAGTTAGTTTTATTTATACTATTTATATGCATTACATACAAATACCAGTGCCTTTGGTTTTTGTGTTAGTAGTGACAGTTGTCATGTTCTAGTCTCTTTGTCCTGTTCTAGGAGTTTGTATTACCTTTAATATTCCTGTTGTTCTCCACATAGAATACATATTTCAGGCAGATTTGTCCTGTCGTGCTGGTCTTCACACTTAAGAGATGCCTCTGATTTTAGGTCATTTTCTGTTCATTACATATTGATATAATTGTAAAACTGTTCTAAACTGCTGTTCTTTTAAATTGTGGAACAGCTAAAACATACCCAGATATCCTAGGGACCAATTTTTAGTTTTGATTTGTAAAATTCAGTAACTGGAGTTGATTTTTGTTCATACCTGAATTTTTGCAAACTTTAATATTTTGGGAAGTTTTAATAAAAGGCAATACTTTAATGCCAGCATTTTAGTGGGGAAAAAAACCAAAAGACTTCAGCAGGTTTGTTTTTTCAAAATCTATTAAAATTGTGCATGTGAAAATATACAAAACAAAAGATTATTTGAACTGCCATTTTGTGATGTAAATCATCAGACTTTTTAGTGAAAGAGGTTTTAGGAAAAAAGCTCCTTCATATCAGTCAGTCATATCACATCCTACTCTGCATCAGCAACTCAGATGCTGGTTTTCCTGTAACACAATGGGAATCTGGTGAATCCGGGCTAGAAGGAGGAAACAAATGTATGTCCCCTGATGTAGGGGTAGTTGGAAGCAATGTGAATATACCTGCGAAGGATTTAAATAGCTCAGCAAAGCAGCTCAATGAGAAGAACGAGTGTAGCTGGACGAGTGGCGTTTGGTTTGGTTTTACTGGGTAGCACACAAGATGAAGCTGCTTTTCGCGGCTTGCTTCAGTTCCTGTGCTACGTCCCAAGTTGTGCCAGTCCAACCACTCATGTCACTGAGTGATGAATAAAGTCTAGGGATTGATTTAATTTTGAAATAACCCTTTTTGTTTCCTGATGCTGCTGAACAAAGCATTTGTCAAACTGCAGCATAAAGGATTTCCATTGGCGAGTTAGCTCGCCAGTGCAGCCTAGCAAGCCAGGGAGAAGGGAGATGACAGTAAGCATTGCCATGGGCAGACAAGTTCTTCTAAGCATATTTCATGATGGAAAGATAGACTTGGAACTGTGAGCAATGGGGCTGCTGCTTGGGTATTCTCCCTGCATTCATTGAGAGAGAACTCATGTTTGCTCTTTATAAATAAACCTGATTACATGCAATGAAATACCTGCCCCTTGTCATCCATTCCTCCCCATAATGGGAACAGCCTGGCAGTCCCCCAAACTCTGATGAACTGTTCCTGAGGGAAAGGTCATCATCACATTGGTGGGGCTTTGATAATCACCCAGAAACTCAGGTTTTGGGAATGGAGCCATAAGAATATTCTAGGCTTGCCAGTTCATTTGAAAATAAAATATGTGTATTTGACAGAGCATTGTGATGGGATCTGCTGTTTTCCCTGGCCTCAGGAGGCCCACAGACTTTTGGCAGGGGTTGTCCTGGCAGAGAACATGAGAATGAAAACAACATTACTGAACCCATTTGTTTGAATTTGTGCTGAAGCTGTACAGTGAAAGACTGAGGAGGTTATTTATTGAACCCATGCTGTGAGGATGATACAAGTATCTCAACAGTTAGTTAGCTTGGTTTAAATGACACTGAGACAAGACCCAGAGTACTGCCATCCTGATAGCTTGCAAATTCCAGACTGTACAGAAGAAGAAATTTAACTCTTCCATTTTTGTGTACTGTGGCAAACCCTAAATAGCAAAGCAAAAGTATTTGCTATTTTAAAAGCAACCATGTGTTCCTAATCTTTTTTTTTGACATCATCTGTTTTGCAATCAGCATTTTGTCTTACATGTGTAGTCTATAAAATAGGTGTCGCTTTATGAATTGCCAGCAAATGTCATGCTCTTACTTCCACTGCTCGTGGATTCTCATTGTAGTTTCTGCTCAGTGCTAATACATAAGGAGCAAGTCACTGAAGTCTTTAGACTGTTGTCCACTCTATAATTCATCTATTTGCCAATGAAAAAGATTGCTAAAACAGTTTCTTAACTTCAGAACAGCAAACATATTTCAAAATTAAATAAAAAAAGCATTTTTGCAGTGATCTTTGCACTAGTATTGGTGACCACTAAGTCACCCATATAAAAATATAGTAGAGTGATAATGGAAGGCTCAGATACTGATACCTCATTCATTTCTGACAAGTATTGCAAAAAAAAAGTCTGACCCCTGCAATGCAGGATGCAACAAGGTATCTTGGGCTGCAAATTAACAGAGAACAAAAAATGAACCAGAAATACCATTTTCACTTTGAGATTTTCCATCAGCCTCCAGAAATGGATTGATGTAAGAAATTTTTCTCTGTGTGAGAACAAATGATGCAACACAATCTGATAAGTGAACAATTGTGCTTAATAACAAAGTGGCTTTTCAGCTGCCAGCTGTTTCACCAGACAATTTAGTTAAAGGCCAGATGACCAAAAGGACACACAGTGGAAAGTAATTTACTAGGATGACTCCACAGAAGGAAAAACTCATAATTCATATATGTTTGAAACACCCAAGATTCAATTAATGGAATTAGTATGCAATGCCTAGAGCATTTTGGCTGTTCAAAGCTGTATTCAAGCTTGTTCTCACAGCTGCACTGCAAGGTGAAGTAGTAGATCATGGCATGACTCCTGGCTTAGAGCTCTGACTCACACGTGGCTAATTACCTCTCCATCTCCCTTCCCGACAGCTGATTTTGTCTATGATATCAGTCTGTGCCACTTACTGTTCTGTACCAAGTCATTTTTCTGCCTCTCGCCTGGCACTGTGAAGTGGTAGAAAGAGATAAGACCTAAAATACAAGTCGGTGTGGACTTTTGAGAGATGCAGGAGAGGGGAGGTTTACTCTTGTCTTATGGGAAGTTGCCTGTAGATTTAGATGGGAGAACATTAGTTTTTATATCTAGCAGAAAAGGCAGCTTCCAGAGATTGAAGTGGTTTGGCTTTGGTTTGGTTTTTGGTTTGGTTTTTAGGGGTTTTTTTGGTTTGTTTTTTTTTTTTTTTTTAAATAAACTATAATGTAATATTTTCAAGTTTCAACCCAAAATTTTTTCTATCAAGAAGTAGATGACAGCATTATTAGTTACAAGTTAAACTGTCTTTGGAAAACTCTAACACCATCTTCTGACTGCTCAAGGAAATGCAGTGACTAGTTTGTATTTAGACAAATCTTACACAACTTTAGATATTTTCAGTATCAAGACTTTGAATATTTGCTTGAAGCTTTATTGATTTCAGTCATTGCCTTTGCTAGCTGCTATTGATGTTGCTTTCTACTGATAAAGCAGCTTTTCCTACAGTTTTCTGGGAAAGAATTCAGGACTTTTCTTCCTTTTTAATACCCTTAATACTGTGTTTGAATTCTCACCTCATTCATGGCAGAAGGTTTTGATGACACAATGCACACTTCAAGGAGCAATGAATTGTCATTGGCTTTCCTCATACTTATTTTTCACTTAGTATCTGTGACTCCTTGCTTCTTCCAGTTTTGATACCTGCATTGCCAGTTAGTATTTTTTTTTCTATTTGAACATAAAGTTCGTCATGAATGAGCTTTGCCAAAAATAAAATTGAGAGCTGCAGTCATGCATCCCTCTTGTTCTTCGTGTTTGGATTTCAGACCCAGTATTGCAACCAAATGCTCTGCACTCACCATAAATGACAACTGATCTTTGTTAATGCAACAAGATGAGAAAATACTTTTAGGCTGTCAAATGTCATGTTATACAATGCGTGCGTTATCCACACAGCTAGAGCAGAAAGCAAATTAATAATTTATTTGATTACTGATAGTCGAAACAGCATGAAATATATTTTCCCTGAATTTATTTCCTCGACTTCTGATGAAAGAAAATGTTCAAGGGCATGAATAGAGCAATCTGTTGATCCGTATCAGTGTCATCTGTCAGGCTCACATCTAACCCCTTCATTTCCCAGAACTGAAACAGAATTAAGGGGAGCCTCTCCGGGTCCTTAGTTAAACCCTTGGTCTTGCAGGTAGCTGTGTGTGTGGAGAAGCCAATGGAGATGTGTAGGTGACCAAAAGGCTACTGATGTGTTGCACTCATTAACCGGTTTTCCATGTTTTCTGAGCCAGTGTTTCACAGGGCAGTGGACTATAGGAGAAAGACCAAATAATGG